AGTAAAACTGAAATAATTTAACTGCTAGTAGCTAATGTATTTGCTTAAAATTAGCCAACTGTATTAAATAATAATTATGTTCTATATACATACACTTTATCCTGAATCTGTTTTATAAAATGTATATAGTATATTTGTATTAGTTTTATTTCAACACATTTTACTTAACAATTAAGATTTATAGTTGTTTTACCTTTGCTTTTATGCTATTTGGTATTAAATTGATAAACCAGAATATCTGAGATCTGATAATGTTCCAGGTAAATAATAGGAAACTATATCAACTCTGAAAGGGAAGGGGCATCTAATGCCAAGATTTAAAATAGAGTTCCTTATTCTGTCTTTCTATTATGTGAATAGGGGTATAGGATATGTAACATATACTTGCACAATTGCATTTCGATGCTTTAAAACTTGTTATCTACCAAAGCACATATACACCAGACACTATCACACTCATGTATTTCTAAGAAAAGACCACCAAGATGTCACTATCGTATACTGTGATCTGAACCACTGGGTCTAAAGCATCTGGTCTGCCCTGGCAAACCAGGCCACTTGATGTCAACCATCATTCCCAATCTGGCAGATCACATGTCCCTGAGCATGGAACTTTGGAGCAAATCTTGTCAATGGCCACAATGGTATGAATTTTTTGACAGATGATAAATTTTTTAAAAATCTTTACAACAATTTTTCTGCAATTCAGACTTCTGATAAATGATCTGCTATATTTTTGATCATTCTATAATTACTGAATATATCCTTGGTCAAGAGTACAGATCCCAATTATGCCACTCTTCTTATACAAAATAGATAATACTCATTGTGATTTCCAGAAACATACTCAAGAAAAGGCAAAGTCTGTCTATACTTGTTTCTTTAACTAGGTAAGTTTATCTCTTTATCTTAAAATTTAAATGTACCTAAGAAGTTTCACATTTTGGATTAACCCTATTAGTGTAAGGTGAAGCTGCCAAAATAAAACAAACTTTCCTAAATTTTAGTTTAACAAAGACTGACATCCTATATTATAATCACTGAAAACAATGAAGTGTTCAGTAATGTGTCACAGTTACTTGACAGTTGACATGTAACAATACCTGTCCTCTCCTCAGATCTTCACTTGGGGGAAAGAAAAAAACCTGAAAGGTGGTAAAAATGAAACAGGAAAAGGAAAAGAAACTTAATAAAACATTTTTTTGCAAAATCAATGATCATACTTTAATAGAATGTTTTCCCCTACAGATGAAATGTAAGAAATCTAACATTGATATAGTAGAAATACTGCAGAAGCCAATACAATCTTTGAGGTTAAAAATGGCTGCACAACCAGTGAAGATGGTTCCCAACACAAGGGTCTCATCTTTCATAAGGAAAATATTTATATTTATATTTATATATTTATATTTTAAATATACATATTTATTATATTTATATATTTATTTTTTCAATTCATTATGGATAGTTGTTATTTAAAGGAACTCAAGGTGGCTATTTTTATATAACAGCTTTATAAAACAAAAATAACCTCTATAATTTTATTTTTGAAAATTGTTCTCATTTAGCTTTACTATCATTTAGCTTTACTATCACTTAGCTTTACTATCATTTAGCTTTACTCTACTGAAACTGACCAAAAAAGTATCACTTTAGATCAGGCTTATGATTTAGTAAATACTGTCCCTGATAGCAGTGGCGAAGAATTTGTAAAACAAAATAGCCACAATTCTTTAAAATCCATGTCCTAAACAGTCAAATATTTAAAAAAAAAACAACAAAAAAACAACACCCCAACATCTTTAAGTAACTCCTTGAAGAGTTCTGAATTCACCTGGACTATTTAGGAAGCTGTTTTTACTCTTGTACCAATCTTGACTCCATTAACATAGTACTTCCTTTATTATCCTAAATTTGCTTCTTTAAACATCAGCCTTATTCTAGCCTATCATATTCTGACCCATGTTTGAGTTCAACCACAAGGGTTTTTGTTTTGTTTTGAGCACCATGAGACCTATGCGAGGTCTTGAAGCAGGAAGGCCCTCTAAAGGAATCAAGAAACTGCCTGTACTTTTGGTGAGGTACTCAGGTGTTTTAAAGTTGTTCGTATTTCAATGTAAGATTAAAATAAGAACAGAGATAAGACTGATAATCACCCCATTTTTGACTTTCATAATTCATTCAGAGGACATCTATTGGGTCCATAATATATATGCATGCCAGGCACTGTGCTAAATGCTGAGGATTCAGAGAAAAAAGTTTCTGCTTTCAAGAGTTCTACTAGAGATGAGACCATAAAATTATTTATAGATATCAACCCTGAAATTTTTTAGCCTGGAGAGAAAATTTTTATCTACTCAAGTAAATGACTATTTTAAAAAATAATTTTAGTCTGGTAAAACACAATTATTCTCTGCAAAGAATTTGCTGGGGAAGAGATGGCTTAATAGTAGGCATAATATTAAGTCCAACATTAGACTTCTAAATGAAAATTCTCAACCTTTACTGGCTTCCATATTTTCAAATTTGTATTAGAAGCAATCTACTTCAAATAGCTGAAGAACCAAAGGCAACAAAATATTTAAAGGTTATTTGTTAAAATCTAGTTTTAATAAATCTAGGCAACACTGGCTCTGTTTGCCCTAACTTATGCCAGAATATCAAGAAAATTCTTTCAGAATGGCAAATTGTGTAATCCTATCTGCCAGGCTCTGGAAACCATGACAGTAACTGAAATAACTAGGCTTTAGCAAATGAGACCTCTTATAATAGGTACCATAATTGTTTCTGAAAAATACATGACCTCCAACTACTGGCTTATTTATTTATACCATGAATTTTTCCACAAAGGATTTGAAGCAGCTACTTTAATATAAAGCAAAGCACATGAATTATATCCACCTGGCTTTGAATTATGGCTCTGCCATTTACTCTTTATAATATTTGTGCCCTTAACTTCTGAGATTCAGTTTCTTCATCTGGGTACCATAATCCTACTGTCTTGGGTTACAGAAAAGATAAAATGAAATAACATGTAACATAGTGTCTGGCATATAGTAAGTCTTAAAGAAGTATCAGTTTTGTGCCTTCCTTATCCAAATGTATGATATACAGAAAAAGGATAAGGTGGAATTTTAAATGTTTTATTTACACATTGATACATGCCAAGCAGAAATGTGGACTGATTATGAGTTGTAAATGTTAACATTTGCATCTAAAAATCAGGCTGAGAGAAAATTAAATTTCTTTCCAAGAGGTCAGCACTTTGAGAACATATTTTATTAACCTTTTAGATATATTATTTAATGAGAAAAATTTCTGAGCGAAAAAAAGTGAAAAGAACCCCAGAATACTATTTTTCACACTATCCATTCAAAGAATGATTAAACATTCTAAATTTGATTTTCTTATAAAAGATTTAGAGTATTAGTCTGGCTAACATAATTTTAAATGATATTCTCATAATTATGCCAGTCTTAAAAGCATGGTTTCTTTTTTTAAAAAAATTGGGTAACATATCAATGTCTTTTTTATTAAAGAGCAGCATTTAATTTGGGGTTTTAAAACGCGATCCAAGTCGCAAAATACCAAGTACCAATCCTAAGCATGATTACAACTCTACTTGCGTTAAGCAGAGCAAGTAAACATTTCATGCAGCAGTGGAGGTGACTAGGAAAAAATTGAAAAGCTATTTGAACTGATCCCTCTCCCCTTCCCCACCATTATTCCCGAACATTGTGTCCCGCATCTCAGATCAAACTGAGCCTCGGTCTTAACTGACGTAACCAGTAACCCTATCCACCGCTCACACTGCGGAGGCCGGCAGGGCAGCGGCTGCCGCCAAGTACACCACTCATCAGAGCCTGCCCCATTCCACCCCCGCGTTTCAGTCATGCTTTCCAGAAATGGGGTCACTCACACAGTAACTATTACACACACGCAGCCTATCATCCTGTAATCCCCCAAAGTCCGCTGCGGGGATAGAAGACAGCAAAAAGTCAAGAAGGAAGAATCACAGACGCGCCACCATCAGGAACTGATTTTCCACTCCGGAGAGGAGCGCGGATGCCCTGGAATGGGTCTTGTCTGGGTTATTTTCGCAGACCCCGAGTTGGTTCTGGGACGGGGGCGGCTGCGAAACGCTCGATGCTATGGTGTGTCCGGAGAAATTCTATTTTGTCCTGTTTGGGTATCTTTGGGTTTTTTGGCATTCAGGTGGGTGTCTCAGGGGCGGCCACCAGATCGCGGGCGAGGAAAGCCAGAAAGCCTTTTACAGCGGCTGCTGATCTCCTTGAATATCACCCTCTCACCTCCACGGACAGGAAACTCAAGTTAAACTCGCAGGAACGGGGTCCTCGAGCTCAGCGACCTCAGAAACGGGGGAGGGGGCGGTGAGGACCTCAGGCTTCCACTTTCTCCTTTGCAGCAGAAACCGCTGCGGCAGATGGGGGGGGGGGAGGCAAAAACCCTTGGCTGTTCTGCACCCCTTACCCGAAACCCCCACAGGTCGCCAACCCTGCCCTGGGCGGTTCCTGCCCCCGCGCGCTCGCCGCCCCGCAGCAACCCCGTTCCCGAGCCGGACTCAAGAGTCTCTGCTCCCCAGTGAACCCAATCCATATCCCTCACTCATCTCCCAAAGCCACCAGGGTCCACGGAAGACCCCAACCACGCAGGGCCAAACTTCCCAACTCGTCGCAAAACCCCTCTCCGCCCCCCGCTTCCCCTACGCAAAGTTGATTAAAATCGGCTTCTTGCAAAGCCCCAGCGCCCACTACATACCCCACGCGCCACCACACCACAGCCCCCAGAGCGAGGGAGGGGGTATGGGTGGGTGGAATAGAAGGGCAAACAGACCAATCCCAACTACCCGAAACGGAATCCCGGAGTGAGGATACACGCGAGCGGCAGAAGAGGTCGAGTGACCAGCTCCGGGGAGGAGAGCCAGCCGGCGGGGTGGAGGGGAGGGGGCGCGCCGGCCCCGGCCGCCCGGCTGCACTCACCTCTGCGCTGTCCGACGGGCTCTCCACAGCCATCTTCTGCCACGGGTCCGCCAGCTGCGCCAGCGGCATCTTCCCCCCCGGCCCGCCGCCTTCACCGCCTCCTCCCTCCCCGCCCGCCCCGGGGCCGGCCCCACTCAGTCGCCGCCCGAGCCCCACGGCAGCGGCGGCGGTGGCGGCAACAGCAGCAGCAGCAGCAGCGGCTGCCCGGGAGAGGGCTCGGCGTAGACACCGACCCTTGAACACCGCGCGCCCAGTTGGAGACGCCCGCGCGCCAAGCGAGAGCCTCGCGCCTCTGCCCGGCACCGGGTCTCGCCCCTTTCTTCCTCTCCTCCTTCCGCCGCGGGGACTACAGCTCCGCCCCCCGCCGCCGGTTCCCGCGCCCGCTCCCAGCAGAACAGCAGCCAGCAGCCGCCGCGCGCTCCCCCACTTCCGCTCACAACATGGCGCCTAAGCGGTACCTGTCTCTCAGAGCAGGGCTCAGCCGCCGCCGCCACCGCGCGCGCACCCGGGGCGGGGCTTGGGGAGACACGCCCCCACCGCCCGGCTTTGCTCCTCCCTCCTTCCTCGCCCCAACCTCAGCTTCTGGGCCTCGCCTACTTTCAGGAAGGGCGAGCCCCAGAGATCTGGGGGCGTCGGCAGGAGGCGGGGGCAAAGAAAAGGGGAAAAGGCAGGAAGGGCGAAAGGCTGGGAGCCTTTAAGTGCCTTGGGTCGGAGCAGGTCGGAGGCTCCTTGAGGATGTAGAGAACAGTGGTCCCCGCCCAGCTGGGGAGGGAGATGGGCGAGGCGCAGGGGGCGCAGTCTGGTGTCAACGACCCAGCAACCGGCGTGCGGTGTCTATTCGGCCAGACTCCTCCGTGGGTGCGTGTGGGCGCGCCAAGTCTACGGGCACATCCCGTAATGGCCAGGACCCGCCCTCTCTAGGATAACACGCTGGGCATTCACCTGCCCCCCCCCACCACACCTCCTCCCACTCCCACGACGGGTACGCTGAAGGCTTTGCGAGCGGGAGCCCCTGGGGGTTCGGCACTTGGTTTGATTCAAGACTCTCCAAGTTAACGCTCTTCTGTAATATTTTTAATATTTGGAATTCATTCGTCTTACATGGGTGGCCCCCCCACCCCCCAGTCCGCAGAGCCCTTATAACCCCCACTCCTTGCTGCCTAAATTTTCGCGAAGGAGAAAACAAGGCGGTTCCTTAAGGCTGTCCGCGACTGTCGGCAGAGGTTGGGGATTATTCTAAAATATCTTGTTGGCAGGAGCCCGGGGTTCCCGCTACTCTGTTGACTTTAAATAAAAGATTAGATTAAAAAATCAGGCAGGCCGTGGGTGGAGGAGGGGGAGAAAGGGAGGAGTTCTAACTCCTCCTTCCCAAGATAGGGAAGCCCTGGGTTAAGGAAACCTAATCCCCAGACGGTGGCGGCGCCTAAGAGGACGAGGAGATAGTGTAGGACGAGGCCTGGGCATCTGGAGTGGGTCCCGAGGGACAGGGGGTGCAACGCGAGTGCCCCGTGCCAGGTGCCCTGGCGAGCTTACTGCGCCCAGGCAGAAATGTATAAAAGTCGCTGGGCCGATTGGAAAGCTAGGGCAGCCATTGGCTAATCGCCCTACAAGGAGAAGGAAAAAGTAAAGGGAACTCTCTAGGCTGTCCAGTGCCCTCATTCCCTCAGGCCTTGGCCTAGGCGTCCGGGGCCTCCCACGCCCAGCGACCACGACGCGTCTCCCGCTGCGCTCCCAGCGCGAGCCTTTTAACAGCTCCCTTTCATCGTCCCAGGACCCAGACACCTCGAGAGCCCTCGCCTCCCTTCCGAATGCAGGTGTGAGGATGTGATTGGAGCCCCGCAACTAGTCGGCGGGTGGGGCAAGGCTTCTCCCTGGGCCCGGGAGAGTTAGGTCCTGGGCTCTTCCTATGGCCTTCGCCGGCGCGCCCCTTGGCACAGGCCACCTGAAGAGGTTCCATATGTTTAGGGAGCCGAAAATTCTCGTTGCCCTCCCTCTCCCGCAGCTTTGGAGCAACATCTGGGCAGACTCAGCGTGGTCCGGGGGGTGGGGAGGATTTAGCTCGTGATTTTGTCACCTCACCCAACAAAATTGATTCATTCAAGTGCTGCAAATCCAATCTGGACCCTAATTCAGCAGTCTCCGTAATTCCTGACATCAAACCAGCTTGCAGAAGTTTGAAGATGAGTAATGTATTGTTTTGCGTTTGTGTGCAGAGTGCCTAATTTATCTTTCATTTACATTGCAAAGCCAAATGACTATTCCTTATAGCGCGAAAAGAAGTAGGTCAATTTGGTTAAAGGTAAATTAGCCCCCCCCAAAGAGTGATCACATACGTAAAAACATACGTAATTCAGACAATTATTGCGTGTCTAGCGCTGTTCAATGCTAATTACTCCATTCAAAGGGTGAACTAATCTTGAAATAAATCAAATTGTATACTGAAAAGTTGATTTCAGTGTCAACTTCTATTCATTTCTTTTTACCTTGAGAACTAGATGAATAACTTTTAAAAACAAAGTTAATTGATCTGCAAAAGTAATGTGAACAATGTTCACATTGCAGGAATTAAGCATTAAATAAACTGTTAATAATGCGCTGAAGTACCCCTTGAACAGCTAGCTGTCTTACATATGGGATCGACTTGGTAATATTTGCGGATTTAGAAAACCTCTATTATCCCTCTTTTTGCACCCAAAGAAAGTGAATTTTTTCCTTTCGTTAACAATAAACTTTTTAAAAAGTTTTTAAGAATGTTATTGATTTGGGAGGGTAGAGGGAGAAACACCGATTTGTTGTTTCACTTATTTGTACTTTCATTGGTTCATTCTTGTACATGGCCTGACAGGGGGTTGAACCCGCCACCTTAGTGTATTAGGACAGCACTCTAACCAACTGAACTACTGGGTCAGGGTTGTTTTCTTTTATTAAACCCAAGTGGTGCAACCGCTGTCTCTGGCTGGAAGAATTTGGGGAAATCAAATGAGGCTGGGGGATTTTTCTCGTAGGTGGCTACAAAAGGAATTATTTAAACATAGAAGCTGATACTGTCCTGAGCAGGATTACTTTTTTTTTTCCCTGTTTAAGAAAGAAAAACTCTTAAGAGTAGTTATTCAAAGAATAGCTGCCTCTAGAGATCACCCTGTGCAGGTTAATGTGGTAGCCGCTAGCCACACGTGGCTCTTGAGCACTTAAAATAAAGTTAGCTGGTTGCAGTTGACATGTACCACAAGTGTAAAGCTCACACCAGATTTCAAAGACTTAGTACAAAAAAAAAAAAAAAGGATGTGAGGTATTTCATTAATAATTTTATATTGGCTACATGGTGAAATTATACTTTGAATATATTGAGTTAAATAAAATATTTTATTAAAATTAGTTTCACCTGTTTCTTTTTACTTTTTATGTGATTACTCTAAGATGTATGTTTACATATGTGGCTTATTTGTCAACACTGGATCATAGTGCTATAGGACAGTACTGCTTTAGAACTTCCCTTTAACATTGAGCCTTTTATGTATTCCTACAAGTCATATAATGTGATATCCTCATAGTACGCTGTCTTTTGGGCTTCTCTGTGCAAAATCAGCAGAAAGAGCTGATTCGGTTACCTACTGATTCTATGCTACCATCACTAGCCCACACACATACACATACAGATAAACTTCTCAGAATCAAAATATTGGAAAGTTGTCGCTTGAAACTACAGCAAAGGGAAACAGCAAACCTCAGTTGAAAATATGGACAAGATTTCCAAGAAATCATTCCTGATGTATGACAGGACAACCAGATTTAACCTCCTCTATTCCCAACAATTTCCTGCTATAATTATAACCCTTGTATACAAGTTTAAATGGGCATTTACTTAACAAAATAACATTTGTTCCAAAAAATGGAGTTACATCAGTCTGGAAAAGTTCCAAGATGACTAACTACGGCTCATGGCACAATCTCTACATCACATACATCCAAAATTCACAGCTCTTTTACATATGAGTTTCTCACTACTATAGAAAACTCATAAATTGTAATCCTCACCTCTCTGAATAAGCTTTTTCTCTTTACATTATCTGAAGCATATTTATTTTTAATTTAATCTTTATTGTATTTTTTCCATTACCATTTAGCCCTCTTATATCCTCCCCACAGCAATCACCACACTGTTTTCCATGTCCATGAGTGCATATTTCTTTTTCACACAAAAAGAAAAAATAATCACTAGAAACTACCATTTCGACATTAATAGATTGAAGTGTATCTCAAATGCAGTGTTTTGGGAGAAACCTTCACTCCGGAAATCTCGTAGTTAACTTTCTTTCCAGAGAGAAAGATAAAGCTTAGGCTCCAATTTTATCTCATGTCAGACAATAGTGAAACAAAATGCATGGTGACATGTCTTTCATGTGTATTAATTTGGGGTTTTCTTAGAAATTTCCCAAATAAAAATTAAGAAAATTAAGAATATTTTCCTGATTGGCACACATCTCAAGAGACAACAGGAATATCTACGTCTATTTGAGAGAATTCAGATTTAAGGATTTTCTCTCAGTTCCCCTCCAGATACAAATTTCCATGATTCTAGAGTTGCATGTGATGAAAGATGCTAATAAAATCTGTAAGGAACCAAGGGGGAGACATTCTATCATACAAATACTTGAAATGTTTACTTTAACATTCTTCCCAATTAGGCAGTCAGGATTACGATAAAAGCAGGAGCAGGCCTCTGTTCAAACTCCAGGTTCCTTAACACCTCCAAACTTCAACTGAAGACCTAGAACGGGGTCTGGCAAAGAATAATTGTTCAACAAGTATTTGCAGAATAAGCTTTGTTTTCCTTACCTGAAAATAAGGATAATAATAACCACCGTATAGAATTGTTGGGAGGGTTAAATGCAGATAATGTCTGTAAAGCATTAAACACAGTGCCTGCCACATAGGAAGCACTCAATAAATGGAACTATTGTTATCAGCTTCAGAAAGGGAGTGTTCCTGCATATATAATGTAATTCAGATACTTGACTCTTGAAAGTTATTTCTTTCCATTTGCTGTGTGAGCATTTTCTTATGGTATAATCTATTTCTTTAGGGCACTCTTGTATCACACACACACGCATACGCGCAAACCATACTGAGTAACTTCCTGTGGAATTCAACAAAAGAGCATGTAGGGTAACTTACTGTTCTGTTTTTCAAGCTGAATATGTTGAAATGCAAATGATTACAGGTCAATTGTCTCATCGGTTATGCTCAAAACTTTGTTTATGTAATGCTCAAAAGAAACTAACAAATGTATGATTCAAAGTTAACATCTGACTCATAGTTACATTGGGAGTAAGGGAAGAACAGGGAAGTATGGAGGAGAGGTCTGTGTCAGACATGCTTTAATGTTTTCTTTTATT